CAACTTTCGAATTACGTCGAAGATAGGTTGGGAAAAGTTCATGGTTCAGGGTTTTACTTTGAGGACATCAAAAATCAGGTCCCAAAGTTTAAAATTACAAAAATTAGGTTTTTCTTAAATTAGTTAATTACATTTTAGAATTATTATATTAAATTAAATATTTAACTGTAATATAATAAAATTAACCCACCCCACCCCCATTGCTATGGCTACTACTCCGGCGACCGGCGACTGCTCCGATCCGACGACTTTTTTCGAGGTCACAGACCGGCGACTGCTCCGATCCGGAGACTTTTTTCGAGGTCACAGATCAAAAAACTTGTAGGTCACGGATTATTTCGAGGTCACAGATAAAATTTTTTGTAGATCGCAGATTATTTCGAGGTCACAGATTTAAAATTTTATTGGTCACAGATTATTTCGAGATCACAGATCAAAAAAATTAATGTCACAGATTCTTTTTTTAAGTTACAAATTATCAATTTCAAAGTCACAGGTCAATAGTAAGGTCACAGACACCAAAAAGAACCACAATAGCTAGGTCACAGTCACCTAAACTTTATTTCAACGAGTCACAGACACAATTCCTAGGTCACAGACACCTACCTAGGTCANATAGCTAGGTCACAGACACCGAAAAAAACCATCATCGCCGTTGACCCGCCGCAACAATAACAAAAAAGACAAACAGTGGGTCACGCAAGGTCACATATATCTAATTAAAGGTCACAGTTAACTTAATTCAAATAATTGCTCCGATTCCAAGGTCACAGATTTCTTATTAAGGTCACGGTTAACTTAATTCGAAGCAGTATTAAGGTCACAGTTAGCTTAATTCAGATAACTGCTCCAATTCTGAGGTCACGGATATCTTATTAAGGTTACAGTTAGCTTCATTAGTCACAACAATAACAAAAATCGGCGACCACCGACAATGGATCCAAAACCACCAACAACAGATCCATAACCGCCACCAACAGATCCACCAACAACAGATCCAAAACCATCGCTAGCCACACACCCACAGA